AAAAAGCAACAATCACCTATTATCCTTTTCTGTCTTATCAAAGGAGATGTATCTGCACGTGCATTTCCAGTAAAAATCGATAAAGAAGAAACCATTGGTGAGTTGAAAGACGTCATAAAGGAGAAAATAGTTGTACCCGTTGCAAAAGATCTCAAAATCTGGAAAGTCGAGATACCTGACGATAATGATGAAAATTTTGCCAACCTCTTACTTAACGATCGAGATGAACTCGTCGCAACAAAGAAGATAAAGAAGTACTTTTCCAAAGAGCCTGCTGAGGAACATATTCACATTATCATATCCTTACCAGAAATTGTCAGTATAATCCCTCGAGAGCAGGAACTCTTGGATCAGTTGGCCGAGTTACAAAAGAACCTTGTTTCTATATATGGTATGCTATTGGTTGTGATTTCGAAAAATTGTTATAAACGTTAAACTAAAAGTACATTGAATAAATTTTATGTCAATCTATCAATATAATGCAGAATTTGACGTTGTAGTTCATCCAAAGCGAAAGGGTTTTAAATGGGTTGCAAATATAGAGCAGGTGACCCTTTGTAATCTTAAAGAAACTATATTTGCCATATATAAGACTCAAGAACTTGAGGAAAAGGTATTTAACTTCATATGCAATGGAGAAAAATATTAACCTCAAAATGACTTGGAGTTTCGTAACATGCTCCAGTTATTTGGAACAAGGAAGAACATCACTTTCACTGTAATTATAGAAACAACTTTGTCCTTTGCACTTTGGACTTTCCCAAAAATGTGCCAGCTCTATGGGCTTGGTAATGATAATTCGCTTTCTGTATTCCCTTTATTTGCTTGTGAATGTATCGAATTGAATAAATATGCAAAGTCACAAGAAATAATCAAACATCTTATTGATGACCTGGAGTTCCGTTTCAATACTATTCCCATTGGAAATGAAGCATCGAAAAGTCAATATGTTTGCGCATACCTGGTGGCTGTTGCAAATCTTTTGAAATTTAAAGTCCGTCTAGAGAAGAATGTCTCTGGTCAAAATGACCATGGTCCCGTTGATTTTGCTTTTGTTTCAATCCAGACTTCTCGAGTGGTTGGTATCACCGAAGTCAAGGATAAAGATTTTCTGCAAGGTGTTGCTCAGAATGCAGTACAATGTGAATCAGCTTTATCAAATAACAATAAAAGGGTTTTTGGAATCATAACTGATTCTGAGAAGTGGCTTTTCTTGGAATGTTCATTAGACAATGAAGGAAAACCGAAGTTTAAACTTTCAAAACCAATGGTCGTTGTATATGGAGATGTAGATATGGAAGACAGAGTAAAGAAAGTTCTTGGTAATATTGCGTGGTTACTGGAGGAAACTCAAAGGTTGGATGAGCCGAAGGATGAGAACCTCAAAGACTAGAATTTGTGAATTGTTTCTTTTCGCACAGGAATTCGAGGATCACTCGGAGAACCCAAGGTAATTTTACTAAGGTTAAAATTAATTTATGCATGTGTATAACTGACAACCATTTTATTCTATCATCTAGAAGACTAATCTAAATAAATTTTAAAAGTATCATTTTTTAAAGTCAATTTAAAAAATTACATATTTTTTACTTTTGAATTTATCCCATAATATGTTTATAATTAATCAAAATAAATTTCTTTAAATACCACAGAAAATATAATTAAATACCTTTTTTAATATTAAATATAATTTTTCATAATGAAAATTAAGAATTATGATTTCAATTACTTTTGCTTAAAATTAGTTATAGCTTTTTTCTTAAAGATCTAACTTGATAAACTTAGAGACTATTCTGATAGAAACAAAAATAATTAATTTAAATAAATTATAATTAATATTATAATATTAATATTATTAAATTTTTTAAAATATTTAAATCATATATATAATATAACTTACTTAAAAATTTTATCACATTAGCAAATAATCTAATTTAAATATATGATTTATTTTTTATAAAAAATTTTCCTTCATTAGTTCAAAACGAAATGTAAGACTATATATGATGAAAAAATATCCTAGTATTCGCTTACTTAATAATTGAGTTGATGCTGATTGGCTTTATAATTGCATAAAATTCTAGATAAAGCAAATATCAATATGAATTATTTTAGTTAAAATCATTTTAAACTTAATAATGGTTCCTGTTTTTCTAGTATTATTAGATTTATTAATTTATACATACTCTAATAATAATACTAAAATTTATAAAGACTTTCTAAATACTAATTATTTTAATTTGTAATTTAGATATCAATTAGTAAAAATTTATAGATAATCAATATACATTTAGAGATAAATAGACTTATATTTAATAATACATTTTAGAATTTCTCACTTTTTTGTTAATTTTTTATATTTAAACATAAAAAATATACATTTATATTAATTTTTTTAGATCTAATAGTAGATGCTCTATACTATAGACCTTTTTATCATAACTTATGAATTATTAAACCTTCCAAAAAATGCAAAAACCTGATATTACTTCACTTTATTTATACATATAGTTAAAATTAAACTTTAAAAGTCAAAATATTTTGACTTAAAATTATAATTAAAATTAAAAGTCAAAATACATTATAATAGTTGAAATGCATTTTAATAGTTAAAATAAATTATAATAATTGAAATGCATTATGATAGTTAAAATAAATTATGATATTAAATACAAATAATATTATAATTAAATAATAGAAACTGTTAAAGCATCTGAAGCATCTTTCAATTCACAAATCTTAAAATCTAGTAAAAGATATTATTAAAAAAGTATTATATAAATATATTACACCTGATCTTAATTTCTAATTGATTATATCACATATGTACAGTAGTGACGAAAAAAACTAGTAGTAAATGAAAATTTATTTACTTGATCAATATTTATTAAAATCGTTTGAAACTTAAAATATAAATAAACTAATATCACATTTATTATATATTAAAATTTTAATATTGAATTACATTGCCATTCCTTTTAATTACCAAATTTACCCTTCTTTTTATACTATTGACTAAATTAAGGCAGAGGTTTTGATCGACATTAAACCATTCGCCCTTAATAATTTCCATAAAAATCCTTTGCGTAACTGGTTTTTTTTCACTAATTCGTTTATTAACCTTCTTTTCCACCCTTTTCTTGATAATCGCCCACAAATTTTCTATTGGATTCAGATTCAGGGAATACGAGAATCACGGGACATCGATTTTTGAGAAGAAACACCGTAAGCTTGGCTTTGTACTTTGGATCATTGTCCTGTTGGAATGTCCAGAACCCTCCAAGAAGTTGATATGCTTGATCAAAAAGATTATTTGTTAAAATTTCACGGTACAACTCCCATTCATGTTTTCAGTAAACATGTGAAACCCAACGATTCCTTGCAAACAAAAAGCCTCCCAAACATGAACTTTGAATGGATGTTTGACAACTCCATGAGTTGGTTTTTCTTCACCCTCTTTATAATGAACTAAGGTGGTATTACAGAACATTTGAAAGGTCGTTTCATCAGAAAAAACCATATTTTCCCAATTTTTATTTTTATGAACTTCTGCTCAAGAAACTCATCTCTCTTTTGCAATTGAAGTTTGGAATGGGGTTTTTTTAGAAACACAAACTCAGTAACCAAGCTTCCAAAGGTTCTCACAGACTGTACGAGTAGCTATATTAAGACCTGGGTAAGTATTATTAAGAGTGTTTGCAATTTCAAAACTTGTTGCACCAGCACGCAAACGAGCAAGCTAACTAAGGTGTTGCTGCTTTTTTGGACTTAAAACCTTTGGGCGTTCTAGACGACATTGTTGTTTTAAATTTTTGGTTTTTTTTAACTGAGATGACCACCGATACAGTATCCTTAGTGGGAACTTGGTAATTTTG